TATACTTAAATGTGCAAAATAAATGCGCCAGTCGTCTTGGTCGCAAACTCACTGGGGAAAATCAAAGAGTATAGCCTATGCAAGAGGCAGCCACTTCATCCAGGAATAACCAGAGAGAAACAGTCAAACAAGACTCTACCCAATGAGAAAGTAACTCGATTGGGGAATTTATCCTATCCAGAAATGGACAAGGTAAGCTGAATCGAAAATCATCCACGAGGATTAGCTCAGTTGGGGAATTAGAAAGGAGGCGCACTTTATGCTTAAGTTAACACCCTATTTGGAAAGATCAAATACGTTATTTGAAAAGACACAACCAAGGTGTACGAATTCAAAGACATCAACAGATACAACTGTGCGTGCATGATGCAAGTGCGAATGAATGTCATGAATGTCATGTATATGCTGACAAAACAGACAGGGGAGACGGACAGAAGATGATGAAACATCACAGTACAACCCGACGCTCGGCTAAACTCAACAGGAGGGGAACATCACTGGAGATAGAAGACAAAAGCCAACAACGCTGTAAAATCCTTCTACAAGGCTTAAATCTCTTTGGAGAGGAAAATATTCAACCCAAAGTCCCATCTTCTATCGTCGACAACACGAACAAATCTTCTGCTGGAAGGAGTCATGCTTAGCTGGAGACTGGGAACACCACCCTCCGATAAAGTGTGCAATGCCTAGCACACATTCTGACAAGTCTAGATTGCCCCGGGGACCAAATTGGGTGCCCCAAATCACTGCTGACGAGCTGCATGATGCACGACGATTGTTGCGAATAGCTTCACTTCTAGAATGCCCCAAGCTAAAAGGTTGATGGCGAGAAAATCGTCTAACGAGGGTTTTACAAAAGACCTGGCATTCACCATGCTCTGGTGTCTTCAAGCTCCTAGAGGAAATCATCCAATCTTGACGCGATTGCCCCGGATTGACTGTAGTTGGCATAACAAAGTCTTCGAAATTTTGCCCCAAACGAGCAAACCAAGTGGGAAAAGCATTAACTAGGAGAAGCAATCTGTCCATGCTTAAGGTCTTCAGCTGACATGCCCCTGGATATGATTTTCTTGAATTGATTCTCCAATTACTCAACATAGTTCCAAGCCTTAAAAGGGTAAACTCATCACTGGTGTTTATGTGAGCTTCCTTGATATCAAACAAATGTTTTGCAGTTAGAAAAAGTTTACAATGAGAATGAGAATTCTAATGCAACAGTCATATAGGTCTTGAAGATTTTTGAAAGATATCGCACAAATTTTGCGAGTTAAAGCACCATTTATTTTTGTATGGGAAAAACATATGATACCAACATAACTATTTAGAACATTTATGGGAGTCAGGAACACTATCTCATTGAAGTATGTTTTCAGAATGACCTTGCTTCAATTAGGACTTTTGAAGGTTGTAATGTGGTCCGATTCATGGGTTTTTTAGAGAAAAAAAAAAAAAATTTTAAGGCTCAAAATATTTGGTGCCCACCCATTCTTCATGATGTTCTCCAACCCTATGTTTGGTTAATTCAAACTGAGTGTTCATCTATCAAGAGGATTTTGTGACGGTAAAATCTTTCTTACGAATTTTGAACACTCAATCAAATTACCAGAAAGCTACCCTGCCCCAGGTTAAAATTCAAGGTTTTTTCGTATAGAAAAGAAACTTCTGCTTCAAAGGCTCAAAAAGGGGTTAGCGAAGGATTATCTTCCTTATATCTCCAGTGTTTAGGGATTTGAAACAATGCCTGTACATCATCAACAAGATTTTATTCAAAAGCATGCAACCAAAGATTTTGTGTTCTTTAGATCATCATCCCCCCTTTAATCTCTGCCTAGGCAAGAGAATGGGCAACATGTTGGTATCATAATGCAAAAAGAAATTTAAAATTTGAGAGCATATATGAGTGAAACGAACGAACTTCTTCAAGACAAACATACTCATTGTATTAAAATAACCATTTAGACGCAAACAAGTTCTTTCATGCAAACAATGTTTCGATAAAATAAGAAAAGCTGCAAAAGCAGAAACAAGTTAATAATCTGGGAAGGCTTTCCACTTGAACTAACGAAAACATCTTCAAAAACTCAAAGTCACCCTCAATCGTGTTTACTCTTCGGCGCCTGTTTGATTTGAACTTTAAAACCAACGTCCTTGAATGACAAGATACCACTTCTGACCAACTTCTGAACCTCAAACTTCAAAGCGAAGCAACCCTCCAAGTCATGCCCACGAGCACCTTGATGAAAAGTACAAGCCAAATCAGCTTTGTAGTTCCAATGTATCTTCTTAGGGACTTTCGGTGGAGGTCGGGTCTGAACCAAATTCCTCTGCAACAGGATAGGGAACAACTCTGTATAGGTGGTTGGAATTGAATCAAACTGGGTTTTCCTCTGATTAGGAACTCGCTGATTCTGTTGATGACCATGATGATTCTGATGATGATTATCTCTTCCTCTGGTTCTCTTCTTGGAAAAGTCATTATCAAACTTCTTCACACCATTAACTGAGCTACCCACCTCATATGAACATCCTTTTCCGACATCTTCTTCTAGACGCACTCCCACATTCACCTTGTCAGGAAGGTTATCAGGTGCATTAACCGTCACCTTTTCATGAGAAAAAGATTTTAGAGTCTCCGTGAAGACTTTTATCCTTGCTTCCTCCCTCCTAGAAGGATTGACTTGGGCGGAGATCAGAATTTCAACCAAACCAGTTAAGTGATCCAAACCAGCTTTCAAAACAGTCACCTCTCTGCGGAGTTCAGAAACCTCTTGCTTGATATTCTCCATTATTCTCTTAGCGTCAGTGTTGTACTAGTGAGACCAAGGGAAAAAATAAGACTCGGAAAAGACCTTTGAAAGTGAGACAAAGAAAATGTAGAATGATGTATGATATGCAAAAGAGAGTTTCATTTGACTTTCAAGGAACTCAAGATATCAAGTTATAAACATCCAAGTATGAAGATAACAGATGAATTTTAAATTGGCTCCAAACATTGATCAAGTTATCGTCAAGATCAATCATCCATTTTGGTGGATTAGGGTTTTTGCCCTATTGACACCCAAGATCCATTGAGTTTGACGAAACTAGTGATGTTTACAAAGAAAGACCTCCAAACTCCTTCAAAGTCAAGTGAAAAGAGTTTTATGGATGCATGAATGCATGGCTATGCAACAACCACGAGCAAGGTCACAAATAAAGTTGAAAGGTTCAACGTCACGAGCATGGAGTCAAAGGTAAGGAACACCCCCACGGTATGTACTAAGGGTTTACTCACACCTGTAGAACAAGGTTCTAAGAGTTCCCAGAGTCTACATTCCTCTTTTGGATATTGCCAACGTCTTGATTACTCGATAATTAGCGATATTCTCAAGAGAAACTCGTCCGAGCGTAGCATCGCGTAACAACTACTTCCGAATTACTCCGTTATAGTCTCCGCGCTACACCTAAAAAGGCCAAGATGGGTTAGGGTTCTACGGTTCTCAACTTCTCGGGCTCCTAGGTCGAAAATAATAATGTCTTCCCGATTACTCGGTAAACAAATATTAAGTTCAAGAGGGCCTTCCATTGAGTGGGGGATCTCATGCCTCCTTCTTCGGGATTACTCCCTCAAAGTTAACATGACTGTACCGCCCGTCCTATTCCTTAAGTGTTACTTAATCCGGGTGTAGGATTCGTCCTTTGCAAAGAAAACCCAAACACCCCAATTTAAACATATAATCAAGCAAATCAAATAATAGTAAAACAGATAAGACAAATTAGGCTTAACCCACTTAGGGATGGACCAGCAAGAGGTCAATCTTTCCCCAGCAGAGTCGCCAATTCTGTAGCGATAAAAAAAATGTAGCGGGGTAAATCGGAGATCGAATTATTGATTAATTCGTCTCACAAAAGCAAGAGTCGCCACCGCGCTTTATTATTTCCAAAGGAAAAGGGGAAAAGAGCGAAATAAAACCCTAAATATGCAATGTAAATAATACTTTTAAAAGTAATAAGAATACAAGGCGTTTTTGAAAAGAGATCTATGGTTCGGGGGTTGGTTATACAATGGGAAGGTATTAGCATCCAATGTATCTATAGTACTCTATAGGAACCTTTTGAAATATCTGTTTTATTTAAAATTGATCGCTTGATTGAAAATAAATCGTTTTGGCCGAAAAAGGGATACGGACAGGTTTTTGAAGATACGACAACCTAACGTTGAAGTTTTGACTTAAAAGGTGTGAGTTTTGGAGAAATCGGATATTTGGAAAATTATCCTAAGTTTCAATGAAATGAGGGTACTCGCTCGATCGTTTTTTGAGGACATGAAGTCAACAAAAAATTAGACTATTCCCTTTGGATTGGTGCAAACAGAATAAACAAGTACAATGAAATAATTGATAGAAAATGATACACAACAATTAAATGTGAACATGCATTTTTATATGATTTTTGTTTAATACATGAAGAGAAAAAATGTTTTAATTGGTTACGCATTTTAACATGGATAAAAAGTAACGAGAATTAATAGAAATGTTTTTTAAGGTTTTTATATTTCTATTTTTTATGTCTTTTTTATATAAATAAAAAGTATTACTTTTTAAGAATTCTTTGAATAAAATAAAACTTAATGCTATTAACCTAAGTCTAATTAAAAAATAATACTAAGATTACTAAATTAAATCCTAAGAGTTTAAATTAATAAAATTAGTCAATGATTAAAAAATGTTTTAAGTTACATCTCTTATTTTGATTTACTAAATTAAAACTTAAACTAATAAGATTTGGACAAAATATTAAAAATTATTTAATTAAAACTATATGTTATTTCTAAGAAAACTAATTAGTTTAGGTTAATTAAGTTAAGAAATGAATAGAATTTTAACTAAAAACCAAATAAGATGGGGGGGGGGGGGGGGATTAGCAAAGAGAATGGGCTTAAGTGTAAAAGAAAAATGGGCTTAGTTGAGGCAAATGGAGCGGTTGGGAGGACCCGGACAGAATGCTTGTGACAAAAAAACCTAAGGAAACTGAGGTGTGCCGCCGCCGCTGGATTCCTTTTCTTCCTCCTTGTTCATGTTCGTTTGTGCACTAGTTTCAAAGAACTTGATACCATACTCATCAGCAAGAGCTTGACCTTTGGAGGTAGGTACAGCCCTTTTACTTTCATCCATATCAGCCTTGTTTCCCACAAGTATCTTGTTTACATTGTCAGAAGCATGTTGTTCAATATTGCGAATCCAAATCCTAATATTATTGAAAGATGCTTCATCAGTAACATCATAAACCAGCAAGATACCCATGGCTCCACGGTAGTAAGCAGTAGTAATAGTTCTGAATCTCTCCTGACCAGCTGTATCCCAGATTTGCAACTTAATGCGTTTGGATTTTACTGATTCTTCTTCCACTTTTCAATTCTGCTTCTTTAACCGTTGTTGTTTATTTTTCATAGCAGTTTGCGAAGGGAGTAGATGGAAGAGGACGAAATGGGTTTTGGAAATTGAGTGATGAAGATGAAGGACGGAAGGATGATAGGGGTGGATGGCGCGGTTGCTGCGATAGCGAGGAAAGAGGACAGATACGGGTAGTTAGCAGAATTGGGATGATGATGAATAGTGTTCTGATTGGTCGATGGTAGTATATATGAAAAGGAAATGAGTTATTGATGGTGATGAAAATGAGCTTGACGAAGGTGAGGTCATGAAGCCAGAGGATGGATAGATCGGAATGGTGAATTGCAGGGGAGTAGCAAGGGCGTCTAAAGAGCTTGGTGATGTTGAAAGGATCGGAAGGTGAGGTCATGTTTAGTGGTTCCGCTGATGTATGTGGTACAGAGGAAATTGAAGAAGGTGTATGATTTAAGAATGGAAATGGATCAAGGGTGGATTATGTGAGATAGAAGCGAATTTGATGGAGGTTGAAGGTACATTACTTTCTTTTTCTTCAAATTCAGATTTTTGAATGATACGCTTTTGTGAAATAAAGGTTTTTGTTTTTGATTTAAAATCTGTAATGATGTTGAAGGTTAAAGGACGAGATTACAAAAGGAGATAAGCACGGTTTGTTGGGTTCGCAGAACATCGTTCACAATGATGCAAACGCGATGATGTTGTCGAAGAAAAGTTTCAACATGGTGGTTATGGAAACAGAGGTTAAAGGTATGCCTTCTCAATCTCTTTTTATGAAAAGTTCGGTGTCTGAATTGTTCCTAATGTTGCGCGTATGTTGATTGAGGTAGAGAAACAACCCGATGAAGATGATTGAAATGTGATGAAAGTATAGGAAGGAGGATATCGTTGTATCAGATGCGGATTTAAGAGCGGCAGAAGAATTGAACGAAGATGATAGTAATGAACCGCGAAGTCCGAATGAGTAATTGAAAAAGGTTTGTGAATTTTCTATATTTTTTTACACGTTGGTTTTAAATTAACAGTGCTTATGTGATTGTGCCGGTTTTGCAACATTATGAATTTTGAAATTTATCGATCAAATTATTACCTGTGTTAAAATAGGGATTTAATGTGTTGATGATTCGCAAAGATATTAAATGGCCATTTTCATGATTTCAGGAAATTAAAGAGAGGATTATTAAGTGAGACAAAGGCAACGCAACGGTATAAAGGTTTATGCGAAAAAACTGAAGAAACTCACATGGTCGGAGCTAGTCCGACGATACAATTCCGGCGAAATCAGGTAAGTTCCGAAGACTTCTCGCTCTTTGCTTTCTGCTACTAATTCTTCTCTTCTTCTCCGTCGAAAAACCTGGTTGGAAATATTGAATAAATGGTTTTTGAATGGATTTTGGATTATACCGTTTTTTGGTTTTGATCCAGTATGCAAGTTATGTTTGGAAATGGTTTTGCCATGATATGGTTGTGCTTGGTAGTCTTGTGTAGTATGCAGGTTGTAGCTTTAAGGTTTTTTTGGTGGTGGTGGCCTCTTTTTTGACAGGTTGTGGACTCTGCTTATGCTGAACTGAGTTGTCTATTTTCTGGACAGTAGGCAGGTATGAGCTTATGGCCTGTATGTTGAGGCAGCTATGGTGAGGTTTTAGGATGTTTGACAGTAGGTATGTGATTTTTATGCAATATACAAGTCGTGGTTTTGTAGTATGCCCAATGGTTATGAAAAAATGCAGGTTATGAAATATGCCGGTTTTGAAATATGTGGCTTTTGAAATAAATGCAGGTTTATGAAAAATGTAGAAAACGATTTGATGCAAGTTATGAAATATGCAGCAAAATGGTTTGAATATGCAGAATTTTTGAATATGCATGTTTATGAAAATATGCAGGTTTTTGAATATGCATGTTTTCAACAATATGCAGGTTTTGAATATGCATGTTTTGAATCTGCAGAATTTTTGAATATGCATGTTTATATATGCAGAATGGTTTGATCTTGCAGAATGTGAATGGTTTTGCTTGATAGTTTTGTCTGCCCCCCTCTATGCAAGCTAAAACTTCCCTTTTGAAGGGGTGCCCTTCCATATGACCGTTTTTTCCTGCTGGCTCAGGTTTGAATATCTTGATATATTTTTCTGATGCTTGCACCTATGCTGCTACAAGGTTGACTTTATTCCCAATTCATGCTTAAGTCAGAACCTGCAAAATTGAACCTCTTCTCTCTCTCTCCCAAGTACAGAAATGATATATATAAATGATATACTGTACATTTTTCTGAAATTGTAATGGCCAGAAAATGATGACAAAAAAAAGGAATAGGTTGCTTGCATACATTGTTTAAAACTGCACATTGTTTGAAATTTCAATTGTTTTTGTCTTGCATTAGCCTATATTATTCTGCAGGTTAACGTTGGCTTGTTGTGTACCTTGCATATGTTTGTTTGAAAAAAATGTATGCTGTGATTTATACTTATGCAGTTTTGACCAAAAAAGTATTTATGCATATGTGAAATATGCAGTGGGCTTTTTGATAAAAATGCAAATGATTTTGAAAATGTGCTATTTTTTAATTGTGCATTCATTTAAAAATTCCTCTCTTTTTTGTGAACCGGGAGAAATCCCGTGATTTGCAAAAAAGAGTAACTGATTCCGGCCATTGCTTTTAATGATGAACATTGAATTTATTTTCTGCATTTTAATTATTTATCCGAATTCTAATTTCTTTCTTTTAATCGTTTTTTTTTTGCAGGTAAAATTTAAATGAGCAGACAAAAAGTATTGGATAGAAGATTAGAATTAGAATTTAGGAAAATAGTTTTATTTTACTTTAAGCATTTATGTAATGGTTATTATAAATACTTTGTACAATAGTATTTAAACAACAATTGTAATAAATAGAATAAAGTGAATAAAAATTCTATTATTTCTCAATTAATTCCTTTTCTTTCCAATTATTTATTTATTGTTTATAATTCCTTAAATCATATAATGATTGAAAATCAAATCCAATCATTTAAATTCAGAATGACAAACAAATAAATAAACATCATTGACTAATCAACAAATTCAACTATTTAATTCATTATTCGTAAAATTCCAAATTATAATAATTAAAAATAGAATTTTAATTATTTAATCTAAAATGATAAAGAATTAAATAATCATTGTTGACCAATTAATAAACTCATTCTCAAATGCTTATTTCATTATTCATAAGTCTTTAAATTATATAACAATTGAAAAATAGATTCCAATTATTTAAATTTAAGATAATAAATAATTAATAAACGTCATTTAAATCTTGATCAGTTAATAAATTTAGCGTTCAACAAATAAACAGCTCCCGACTCGAAAAAGTTATGAATTTTTAAACTGCTTTGAAAATTTGATAAAAATGGTCAAAACTCTTGCAATGCGAATGATGCAGATGGAAGACGGTATCTTAGGTCAAAATTTGGGGTACAACAGAAAGGCACAACATGCTATCCTGCTGGTCCCAATCGAAAGACACAACATGCTGACCGTGAGGCCTCAGTCGAAAGTGATGCCTTCACCCTTTTCAGGCCAAATCGAAGAGAGCCAGAAAGTGCAGAATCGAAGGCTGCTCCTGCCCAAATCGAAGGAGCTCATTTTTTCTTCTTTTTATCTTATTTTTTCCTTTATATTCTTCTGCACTTCAATATGGTTGTAATAGTGTAGGATATTTATTTGCTACATTTTTATTGCTTTATACAAATGCTAGTAAATAGGTGTGTATGGAAAGATAAAACCAACAAGTAGGAAACCCCTAATCAAAGACAAATGCATGCAAATCAACACACTATTCACACATGCACCCTTAGGGTAATCTCACTTGTTGCCTCGGAAAATGCAATCATGTCCCTCGAGTATGTGACACTCTAGAAAATGTCCCTTCGATAAACAAAGATTGTAGTCCCTCGATGACCCTCGATGTTGCCTTCGATAAACGATCTAGTCCCTAAAATGACATTGCTAAAACATCCCATATGTTGCCTTCTATGACTATACAAACGTCCCAATGCCCGTCCCTTCACATCCAACAATGGGGCTTCTTACCAAATCAATGGTAAGATAGCCACATCTAAAGGAGAAGGAAAAGCACATTTAAGACCTTTCGAGTAGGTAGATTCGCTCCTAGTTACTCGCTTGCTCACAACAAAAAACATTTTTATACACCCACACTCTCATCTTTGAACTATTTTCGAAACAAACACTTTGTAGGCGTTCTTATAGAAGCAAGAACCATTATGAAGTTCCATTTTCAAAAATACTTTCAAAACACACACCACAAGCACATTCAAACAAAAGCAAGTGATCTAAGCAAGTAACTAAGAGCCCATGGATAACCATGGATGAAAAGGGTGCTAGCACCTTCTCTTTTCATAATCTACCCCCGGAACCCACGAAAACATCTCAAAGGTCTTTCTTGTGCTTTTTGACCTTTCCTTAGGATAAAATAAAAATTCGGTGGCGACTCTTGCTAAACCGAACATTTGCGAATACAAACGCAAAACCCAAGTCCGTTCTCCCACCGTATCACAGTATGGATGTCAACTCTTCTGGGGAGAATAAAGTTGAATGACATCTGGCCCGAGAAGAGAATCCCATTGGGGAATTGCGATAATTAGAGAAATAACCTTTGTTTGGGAAATAAGCCTTGTTGGGGAAATAAACCTTTCTGGGGAAATAAACCCTGCTAAGGAAGAGAATTCTGCCGGGGATTTTACAGTGTTGGAGAAATAAACTCCGTTGGAGAATTGAATTCCTATAAACTGTGTTGAGGGAATAATTTATGATCAGAATTGGAATTTCATAGGCTTTGATGAGGAAGTTTCCACCGTATGCTGGGGAAATGATCAAACTTCCTTATATACTAG